CCAGAAGGTAGTTCCAGTCTCATCAGGGTTGCCTGTTCCACCTGGCCCAGGGGATGCTTCCCCTTCTAGGAGTGTCTCACTGTTTACTACAGGTGCTGTCTCCCTTCTTCCTTTCTCCCCTAGGTTTCCTAAAACCCAGTCACACGAGCTTCATTGCAAGTGCTTAGTGGCCACCTGTGGCTCCTGGCCACCGTACAGAGCAGCACAGATCTAAAACATTTACATCCAAGGGTTCTATCAGACAGTGCTGTTCTAAAAGCTTGTTTTGTTTGTAGGTAAACACTTATGGCAGAAGACCATAGCCAATGGTGTGTGCTTCATACTGTATTGTTCAGAAAAATGATTTGACCTTAATTGGACATTCTTGGCTCCAGGGTACCAATCATGTCCAGATAGTGAAACTCTCCTAGCTTATGAAATGCAAGTCAAAGTGTACAAAATATATACATATGAGACAAAATTAGTAAAGTGCTCCCTACTGATAGGCCAACTCACAATCCCAATGAAGCCACAAGGATCCATCTCTTCGGCTACCACTTTGGTCTCAATCAAGTCACACAAACATCCTGGGATGCTGCAAAACTCAATCTCTAGTTCACACCAAGGAGAAAATGAGCAATCTGCAACTGCAGCACATAGACAAGACAAAGCCTCCTGCCACAGGGAAGCAAAGGGAGATTTGAAAGCAGGAAGGTGAAAGGATCAGCCCTGGGTCTTGGAAGTCCTTGGCTGAGGTGTCTAGAACAGATGGAGGAAGTAAAGCTGCAAGGCACAAGGAGGTGTCCTGGAGAGTGACTACAAACCAGGCAAGGATCCACTCAGGCAGTGGTACTGGGCATAGACGGGCAGGGCCTGATTTGAGAGGTGGAGTCTGAGAATCCTCCAAAAGATTTTTTTTTTAAGTGAGAGTGATGGCAATGGGCAGAGGAAGGAATCACACTCAGCAGGAGGCAGCAGACCAATGAAATCCAAGACACGAGAAACAAGTCTGAGAAGAGAGGAGAAAAGGACTAGGTCCAACCACACAGAAGGCATTTGTTAAAATGTTCTTCTGGGCATATATCCAGAACAGACAAAAACTCTAATTTGAAAAGATACGTGTACCCCATATTCATAGCAGGACTGTTTACAATAGCCAAGTCATGGAAGCAACCTAAGTGTCCATCAACATATGAATGGGTAAAGAAGATGTGATATATACATATGAAATAGAATATTACTCAGCCATAAAAATGAGTGAAATATTGCCATTTGCAGCAACATGGATGAACCTAGAGATTATAATACTAAGTGACATAAGTCAGACAGAGAAAAACAAATATTATATGATACCACTTATATGTGGAATCTAAAAAATAGTGCAAATGAACTTATGTACAAACAAATACAGACTCACAGACATAGAAAACAAACTTATGGTTACCACAGAAGAAGCAGGGGAGGAGGGATAAATTAGGAGTATGGGATTAACAGATACACACTACCATATATAAAACAGATAAATAACAATGATTTACTGTATAGCACAGCGAACTATATTCAATATCTTGATAAGAAAAAGACTTCTGTTATGTTAAACCACGAAGATTTGGGGGTTATTTGTTACTTCAGCATAACCTAGCCCGACAGAATATTAAAACTACTCCCCCCAAAAAGTTTACGTTTTTATGCAAAATGGAATTAGGTTCCAGCCTCTGATCATTATAAACAAGCTTTTCACCTACATGATTGTCCAGCGACACTGGAAAGTAATGAAGGATCCAGACAGTTCTTCCAGACTACCTAACACCCCGTTTACCCTATTCCAGTAAAGACTAGTAGCATCCCCTCAAACATTGTGAAAATTCAAACAGCAAGCCCACAAATTCCTCAGTCACTCCCCACACCACTCTCCCCACAGAAAACAACTGGCCTCCAGGGACCAGACATATCATAAAAACTAGTTAAAGGAGCTAGACCAAGATGCCAGAAGAACCTGGCTTCTAAAAGGGCAGCCATTTATGAACAATAAATGCTGGAGAGAGTGTGGAGAAAAGGGAACCCCCTCCTACACTGTTGGTGGGAATGTAAATTGGTACAGCCACTACGGAGAACAGTATGGAGGTTCCTTAAAAAACTAAAAATAGAGCTATTGGGTTGGCCAAAATGTTCTTTCAGTTTTTTCTGTAAGATGGCTCTAGTAGCACTTAGTTGTCTTTAACTTCATTCGAAACAATCGAACATGTCAAAAGTGGTTTGCGAAGTTTCATGATGGAGATTTCTCACTGGACGATGCTCCACGGTCAGGTAGACCAGTTGAAGTTGATAGCGATCAAATCGAGACATTTAACTGAGATCAACATTATACCACGCGGGAGATAGCCTACCTACTCAAAATATCCAGATCAAGCACTGAAAATCATTTGCATCAGCTTGGTTATGTTAATCGCTTTGATGTTTGGGTTCCACAGAAGTTAAGCGAAAAAAACCTTCTTGACCATATTTCCGCATGCGATTCTCTACTTAAACATAATGGAAAAGTTCTGTTTTTTAAAACAAATTGTGAAGGGCTGTGGATACTGTACAATAATGTGGATTGGAAGAGATCGTGGGGCAAGTGAAATAAACGACCACCAACCACACCAAAGGCCGGTCTTCATCCAAAGAAGGTGATGTTTTGTATATGGTGGGATTGGGAGTCCTCTATTATAACCTCCTTCTGGAAAACCAAACGATTAATTCCAACAAGTACTGCTCCCAATTAGACCAACTGAAAACAGCACTCGACGAAAAGCATCCAGGATTAGTCAACAGAAAACTCATAATCTTCCATCAGGATAATGGAAGACCACACGTTTCTTTGATGACCAGGCACAAACTGTCACATCTTGGCTGGGAAGTTCTGATCCATCCACTGTATTCACCAGACATTGCACCTTCGGATTTACATTTATTTTGGTCTTTACAAAATTCTCCTAATGGAAAAAATTTCAATTCCCTGGAAGACTGTAAACGGTACCTGGAACAGTTCTTTGCTCAAAAAGATAAAAGTTTTGGGAAGATGGAATTATGAAGTTGCCTGAAAAATGGCAGAGGGTAGTGGAACAAACGGGTGAATATGTTGTTCAATAAAGTTCTTGGTGAAAATGAAAAAAGTGTCTTTTATTTTTACTTAAAAACCGAAGGCACTTTTTGGCCAACCCAATACCATATTATCCAGCAATCCCACTCCTGGGCATATACCTGGAGAAAAACATACTTCAAAAAGATACATGTACCCCAATGTTCATTGCAGCACTATTTACAACAGCCAAAACATAAAAGCAACCTAAATGTCCATCAACAGATGAATGGATAAAGAAGATGTGGTACATATATACAGTGGAATATTACTCAGCCATAAAAATAAAATAATGCCATTTGCAGCAACATGGATGGACCTAGAGATTATCATACTAACTGAAGTAAAACAAAGACAAATATCATATGATATCACTTATATGTGAAATCTAAAAAAGTGATACAAATGAACTTATTTACGAAATAGAAACAGACTCACAGACTCAGAAAACAAACTTATGGGGACTTCCCTGGTGGCGCAATGGTTAAGACTCTGCCTGCCAATGCAGGGGACATGGGTTCGACCCCTGGGCCAGGAAAATCCCATATGCCACGGAGCAAATAAGCCCATGAGCCACAACTACTGAGCCAGCGTGCTGTGACTACTGAAGCCCCACGTGCCGAGAGGTGCTCCGCAACAAGAGAAGCCACCGCAATGCGAAGCCCACACATCACAACGAAGAGTATCCTCCACTCGCTGCAACTACAGAAAGCCCACATGCAGCAACAAAGACACAACGCAGCCAAAATAAATTAAAAAAAAAAAAAAAAAAAAGTATGGTTACCAAAGGGTAAGGGGGGGAATAAATTAGGAGGTTGGGATTAACATATATACACAATGCTATATATAAAATAGATAATCAATAAGGACCTACTGTATAGCACCAGGAAGTCTACTTAATACTCTGTAATAACCTAAATTGTAAAAGAATCTGAAAAAGAATACATATATGTATAACTAAATCACTTTGTTGTACACTTGAAACTAACACATTGTAAATCAACTACACTGATAAAAAAAATTTTTTTAATTAAAAAAATTTTTTAAAAAGGGCAGCCAACATCCAATCCACCAGTTTGTTGCCATCAGAGAATATACTGAGTTGCAAAAGACTTATGTCTCAAGAGAAGGCCAATATCCAAATTTTAATGTAAAAATTTTTTGATTTCTAAATATCTGCAACTTTAATTCTTTTTTTTTTTAATTTATTCTTTTTTTTTATTTTTTGGCTGTGTTAGGTCCTCACTGCTGCGCACAGGCTTTCTCTACTTGCTGCGAGCGCCTGGCCCAAGCCACATAGTTGAGTAACAGTCATCACAATTATTCTTATCTGCCATGTGCTCCTTATTTAATTGGTTTTATTATTTTTATTATTATCACCATTTAACTAATTAATAGCAGAGTCTGGATCTTCTGATTCCCAGTCCACCATAGTGTGCTCTTTCCTGCCAAATTGTAGATTTTAGTTATTAAAAAAAAAAGTCCTGCCTTCCTGCCTCACCTGTCCCACAGTTTCGTTACCCGCTCTTTTAGGGCTTGTTCTGAAAACTGCTGCAGAAAAATCACTAAGTAGAAGTAAAGTATGAAATGAAATGAAAAAGAGGAAATAGTGTCACAAAAAAAAACTACGGCCACGTGGGCTGTGCCCAAGCCAGGTTGGATGCACCACAACAAAAGGAGAAAGCCCAAGAATAACTTCCACGAAAACAAGTCCTCCCAGGTGATGAGAACGTAGGTGCTTCTTATGATTTGCACTTTCCCGAGCTTTTTTAAAATGACATAAAAGAAAGGTGGCCGATAAAGAGGAAAGCCCGTTGCGAACACGAAAAACTAACAGCAAGGGCAAAGCGCCCGCCCACGCCGAGTCCGCTGCCTGCCGGGGCCACGTGACAAGACCAAGATGGCCGACGGGGAAGACCGGTGCCGGGCGGGGCAGGAGCCGGGGCCGGAGCCGGGAGAAGAGTTTGAGATCGTGGACCGGAGCCAGCTGCCGGGCCCAGGCGAACTGCGGAGGGTGGCGAAGCCGCGTGCGGCGGCTGAAGGCTGGTCGGCGCCCATCCTGACCCTGGCGCGGAGGGCCACTGGCAACCTGTCGGCGAGCTGCGGAAGCGCGCTGCGCGCGGCTGCTGGGCTGGGCGGCGCGGACGGCGGCGCGGACGGCGTGGCGCGCGCAGGTAGGCTCCGGCTGGGCGCGACTTACGAGCTTTCTGTGGGACGGGTGGCCGTTTTACTGTGGGAGCCAGGCTGGCAAGGGCGCTTAACCGACTCAGCCTGTTAGGTTGTTAAAAAAACATCCTGTTAACTCGCCTAACTACTCGTCTATTTTCTTTATACCGTGTGTCCATGCCGAGATAAATACGTGTGCGTGGGTGGCCTGAGATCGGGGCGACTTCACTTCTAATTGTGTTCCCCACGCAGCATTCTTATTCTCACTGGTGAACTTTATACTTTAAAATGTACGAGTTTAAGCTTACGTAGTCCTTATTAATTTTTAAAGGACTTACTTAAGAAATGAAACCGTACTGTTCTCTGCTTTAAATCTCAAAATGCCATCCTGACTCACACCTCCAGTTTTTGACGGTGCATCCCGACTCACCGGGGAGTCAAAGCACCAAGGCGGAATTAAGGGGGTGAGGGTTCCAGGTGAGCTCTACAACCAACTAGCTGTGTCATGGAGAAAAGTCATCACATTTCCCAGCCTGTTAAATAGGAATTTTGTGGTTCACCCAATGATCTCTTATAGTCCTTTTAAGTCTTTGTCATCTATAACAGGGTTTTAGCAAATGAGTGAGAATGGAAACATTAAATGATTATGATATTTAGAGTGTGACTTAGCCCTGTAAAGCCAGATATTTAGAGCTGTGCCAACCAATACAGTAGCCACTACCCACACGTGATGTGTCAATGTTAAAAATTCAGTTCCTCAGTCACAACAGCCACATTTAAAGTGCTCAGTAGTCTACACGTGGCTAGTGGCTACTGTATTGGATTGTGCAGTGAGAACATTTTCATCACACAAAGTGCTGTGGGGCAGAGTTCACTAAAGACTGTGGAGTGCTCTCTAAGAAGCATTATAGTGTGCCTTTGAGGTTCCTTTTTTTTTTTAACAAGTACTCTTTTTTAATATTTATTTTATTTATTTATTTTTTTGGCTGCGTCAGGTCTTAGTTGCAGCACTTGAGATCTTCACTGAGGCGCACACGATTCTCTCTAGTTGTGGCGCGCAGGCTCCAGGGCGCCTGGGCTTTGTGGTTTGCAGCATGGGGGCTCTCTCACTGAGGCGTGCAGGCTTAGTTGCCCCGCAGCATGTGGGATCTTAGTTCCCTAGCCAGGGATCCAACCAGCGTCCCCTGCATTGGAAGGCAGATTCTTTACCACTGGACCACCAGGGAAGTCCCTGCCTTTGAGGTTTCTTGATTCCATCCTGTCCAATGTATGTTTGATGTAGAAGTCAGCACTGGCACAAGGATAGTGAATTGTGACAGTTTCATTGGTTAAGAAAGATTACTGAGGAAAGTTTAAAATCTGACTTGAGATAGAAAACAATATTTCTTTGGCGATAGAAAGTAGGACTAGAAGGTAATGAAGGAGCCTGTTTAACTCAGGAATCTAGTTGCCACTAGCTCACTACCTTTACACACATCAATGGGTGTTTGACTGTATGCCCACCATTGGTGGTCAGTCCTGAGAGTCAAGGCATGGGGTCTTCTGGAGGCTTCTTAGTAAGCAAAGAATACATGTTAGCTGTTTGGTGATAAATAAAATGTGCCAGTGCCTAGCACAGAATAATAAATATTTGTTGAACAAATGCATATTTGAAAAATACTTGTTTTATATTTATGGTAATGCTATAAATAATACCCAGCATTTATATTGTGTTTCCTAGGTGCCAGATATTAGTCTTAGGTCTGTACATACATTAGTTCATTTAATCTTCACAATAATCCTAGGTGATCGCTGAACTGGCTTCATGATGTGCAATCAATGCAGGCTTTAATCAGTGTGATTGTGCAGGGCCAGGTACTCAGAAGTGCCCCATGATAGAAATTCTTACTAATTTTATCTTTGAATTTGTATTAAGTGAAGTCTGATGGGACAAAGGAGTATGTGTGGGGGCCTTGGAGACGGGCTTTTGTGTGGTCCCATCTTCCACTGTCTTCCTGGGACAGGTTCTTGGCCGCTCTGGTCCACTTGAACTGCCCTAGGGCTTCTCCCCACCCCTCCCTGACCACCCTGCATGACCAATGCTGCCGCAGGGAGGGTTGGGGTTATGCTGTCTGACTCTCAGGGCAGGGCCAGGTATGCACTGGCCTGCCCCGGGCTGGCAGCGCCACAGCACATTAGGCAGGCACTGGGCAGCAGCCTCTCACCCACCCAACCAGATAGGGACTGCATCCCTGCAGGAAATTGCTGTCACTTAGGGCCATGGGAGGGAGAGGTTGACTTCATGCCTCCGCCCACATAGCCTGCCCCACGTGGTAGGTACCGTTATCATCCCCTATTTATAAAGAGGGAAACTGCATTAAAGAGAAGTAATTTGACAAAGTTACTTAGAAATGGCAGAGCCAGGACTTGAACCAAGCCAGGCTGCCTCTCCAGCCTGTGCTCTTAGTCACATCACCTCAATGCCTTGATGCCTTTAAATAATTTTATAAGTAAAATGCTGTAATATATACATATGGATTTTTAATTAGTCAATTTAAAGAAAATATTAAGTAAATAACTGCCACTCAAATCTGGTGAAAATTGTGAACATGGCTTACTGAGGGCAGAAGTGTGGGGAACAGCTGGGATGAGCTATGTGGCTGGTCTCAGAGTAACCCAGATTTGAAGCCATCAGGTAGGACAGGAGTGGGGATGGGGAAAAGGAACTGAACCCTGGGTAGCATGCTGTGCAGAGGCCTCAGAAAAGCAGGTCAGGAGAAGATGGCGGCCACCACTCCAGTCAGGGCTGGCTCATTTCATCTCTTTTCCATTGATCTGCTTATCTGCTTACAAAAGCAGTGAGAACAGAGATTATTCAGAGGGAGTGGTGAAGGAGCGGAGACTGAATGTGAGCAGCACTCTTGCCAGGTAAACTTTTTTTGGTGATACAAGTTTAAGGAAAAAGCTGTGGAATGTCGTGGAATGTGGAATGCTTTGAATACTTGTTTTAAAATGTTATCCGACGTGGGGTCTGGTAGCACAACTTGCCACAATGATTGCATTCTCTGTAGTTATCTTGTTTGGTTTTTTGGTATTTTTTCTAAAGGTAATACACATGGTAAAACACAAACAAAAATCAAACTGTACTAAAGGACACTCAGTGTAGAATAAGTCCTCCTTCCCGGAAACTGTCCCCAATCCTACTGTATTTCAGAGTGTCTGTGCATGTAACATGTGCTTTCATCTCTATACACACAGTTTTCACACAAACCACAGTATACACACACAGGTTTCTACATCGTGCTTTTTAAAGTAATGCCTCCTCCTAAAGCAGTGGTCCCCAAGCTTTCTGGCACCAGGGACCAGTTTCATGGAAGACAATTTTTCCACAGACTTGGTGGGGGGAATGGTTTCGAGATGATTCAAGCACATTACATTTATTGGGCACTTTGTTTCTATTATTATTACATTGTAATATACAATGAAATAATTATACAACTCACGATAATGCAGAATCAGTGGGAGCCCTGAGCTTGTCTTCACTTGCCACTCACTGATAGGGTTTTGATATGAGTCTGCAAGCAATTGTTTATGGTCTCTGTGCAGTCAAACCTCTCTGCTAATGATAATCTGTATTTGCAGCCACTCCCCAGCGCTAGCATCACTGCCTCAGATCATCAGGCATTAGATTCTCATAAGGAGCATGCAACCTAGATCCCTCGCATACACAGTTCACAGTAGGGCTCGTGCTCCTATGAGAATCCAGTGCCGCCGCTGATCTGACAGGAAGCAGAACTCAGGTGGTAATGCGAGTGATGGGGAGCAGCTGTAAATACAGGTGAAACTTCGCTCGCTCACCCGCCACTCACCTCCTGCTGTGTGGCCCACTTCCTGACAGGCCACAGACCAGTACTGGTCCGTGGCCCGGTGGATAGGGACCCCTGTCCTAAAGGATGAATAACAAAACTCACTGAAGAAGTCATTCTTTAATTTTTAAAGTATTTAGATACATATTTGGCATTAGGTAGGTGATATGTATTATGCCTTTCTCTGTTGTCTTCCATGGCAAATTTTTTTTCCACGTGTCAGAGCACTTCTTCACAAGTGATATTTTTGCTCCTTCCAAAATGAAGTACAATGACTTTTTCATTTCACATTGCTGAACTTTTTAAGTTAGCCATTGAGATAAGTGAAAATTCCGGAAAATTAGGAAAGTGTAAAATGGTTTTCTTCATTGTCAGTACAGGGTAACACCATACTGTATTATAAGATCTTTCAAGACACCAAAGGGCTAATCAAAACTAAAACTCAAATTTATAAAGAATCTAGTTAATTCTCTATAATTCAGAACCCGATCAAAAAACAAAAAAAAAATCTGTAGAATCCACTCCCTGAAGCAAATACTTATTCTCTACACCAGAGGTATAGAGCAGCCCTTTGAGATGTTTGTGGCTAGTAGTTGCATTTTTTTCTATCCTGCATAGTTTATACTTAAATGCTTTTATAAGCATTTAAAATTTTTTTAGCCAATTACCAGGTTTTCCATAAAAATCCAGATCACCAGCTTCTCCTGAAAACTCCCATCTGGCACATATGATTAATCAGCATTCCTCCAGCAAGAGGGTGGCTGCACATTCTCTCCAGCTTGTCCTCTCACTGGGTCACTCTTTTATGTTACAGGCCCAGCCCCTCTACAACAGTGAAGGTCGAGATCCCTGATCAGACCATTTACTTGGCAATTCAATAAGTGTGGAATTTTGTGACATTCTGTGTGTTGTGTTGAACTATTATTAACAAAGCTTAGAGATGTTAACAGCTTAGCCAAGGTCACAAAGCTAATAAAACTGAGAGATGAAACAGCTTAAAGATCCTTCCAGCTCCAATTTTCCATGACCCTAAATTGAGCTCAAATGGGAATAGGTGACTAACCCAACCAGGGGATGGATGAGATGGTTGCAGAACACTGCTGTGTTCCCAGGAACGATCGTAGGAGCCACTGCCTTAAGCACTAGTCTTCACATTTTTTGTTCACATGACCCCCCCCAAAAAAATCTTCAGCTTTTAAAGTTGATACATAAAAATCTTCATCATAATTTTAAAGTTTAGAATACATTTTCTGGTTTATTGTAAAATTGACTTTTTAAAATAAAACCATGATATCATTCTTTTAAGTGTATCAAGTGGTATATAAATACCTTAATGATTTGATAACACTACCATCCATCTTAAAAATAAATAACAAGTTAATTAATATTTGAAATTTTTACATTTTTCCCTTTTATTCCTTGGACTTGAATTTCCAATCCACTTACGTATGTTTTAAATTTTTTTATTGGTCATCCTATCATACATCTCAGAAAAAAATATGTAAATTAATTAAAATGTAATAAACTTTTCTTGTGACTAAAGCTGAGTGTATAAAATATTTTTTCTTGGGCTTCCCTAGTAGTGCAGTGGTTAAGACTCCACCTGCCAATGCAGGGGACACGGGTTCGAGTCCTGGTCCAGGAAGATCCCACGTGCCACGAGCAACTAAGCCCATGTACCACAACTACTGAGCCCACGAGCCACAACTACTGAAGCCCGCGGGCCTAGACCCCATGCTCTGCAACAAGAGAAGCCACCACAATGAGAAGCTCACACACCGCAACGAAGAGTAGCCCCCTCTCGCCACAACTAGAGAAAGCCTGTGCTCAGCAACAAAGAGCCAATGCAGCCAAAAATAAATAAATAAAATAAATAAATTAAAAAAATTTTTTTTTCTTCTGGAACAAATTACCATTAGAATTATTAGTAATGCTAAGTTAATTAAAGGAATATAAATATAATTTCATAAGTAATTATACATAAATTTTTCTTGGAACTACTTCTCTTCATGAGCTGGTGTTGGTTTTCTCATTAGCATGTACTTGTAGATGAATATATATATTTACTTATAAAATGTGATAGGACTCAGAATCAATTTTATTTTTATTTTTTATAGATGTGATCCTTGAGAAATCTGGCTCATATAAATAAGAAATAGAAATGGACAGGTTTTTTTTTTCCCATTGGTAAATTCTACCAAATATTTTTTTAAGTTTTATTGAAGTATAGTTGATTTACAATGTCGTGTTAATTTCTGCTGTACAGCAAAGTGACTCAGGTATGAAATGGACAGTTTTGTTATAGTAATGTTGTTCAATTTTTGAACTCCTTCTAAGTTATATGCCCCAAATCACATTGATCTCATGTCAAAATTTTGTTCATTTTTGTTCAAATATTCATTTTGTTCAAATGAAAATCACCTTACTTGCAAAAGGATACAACTTAGTCACATTAAAGAAATTTCTCTACCTCTGGGAAGTTCCCAAAAAAAGGCTTTATCAAGACTTATCAGATGATAATTATGCCTTATAATTCTTTCACTTTGTTTAACTCAGAACACTCAAAATGGTTGGGGATATCTAAACATTGCTTATTTCATTACACCTTGCCAATGCAATATTTTTTGACAAAAAGAGTTTAGGGAATTCCCTGGTTGTCCAGTGGTTGGGACTGCACACTTCCACTGCAGGGGACACGGGTTTGATCCCTAGTCAGGGAACTAAGTCCCATATGGCCAAAATTAATTAATTACTTAATTATTTAAAAGTTAGTTTACATGTACTTGAAATCCATTTTCATCAAAAACTTGGAGCTGCACTTTGGCTCATTTAATTTATTGAACGTGTCCATCAAGTTAATGGCATATCCAAGGGATGAGTATTGAGACTGACTGAAAACAATTATATATATTCATATTTGTGGGGGAAGTTTTTTTTTAACTCTCTAAATTCAGGATACCCAGCAGAGGGCTGGAGACCAACCCTCTCTCCCAAGACCGAGTTTAACTAAGTTCAACAAAGCAATGAGAGACTGGAGGCGCTTCATGTTTTGTGTGACTTGATTAATCATCAAAGGAGGTTTCACCTCCATTTGGTGTGTGAGACTTTCTGCACCCCAGGTCAGTGCATCAAGAGGAAGATATGGGGGCTTCCCTGTTGGTGCAGTGTTTAAGAATCTGCCTGCCAATGCAGGAGACACGGGTTTGCGCCCTGGTCTGGCAAGACCCCACATGCCGTGGAGCAACTAAGCCCACGCACCACAACTACTGAGCCTGTGCTCTAGAGCCGATGAGCCACAACGACTGAAGCCCGTGTGCCACAACTACTGAAGCCCGCGTGCCTAGAGCCCATGCTCCGCAACAAGAGAAGCCACTGCAATGAGAAGCCTGCGCACCGCAACAGAGTAGCCCCCACTCTCAGCAACTAGAGAAAACCCGCCTGCAGCAGTGAAGACCCAATGCAGCCAAAAATTAAATAAATGAATAAATAAGTTTATTTTTTTAAAAAAGAGGACAAGATATTGGACAAAGAATGAATTGTGGTTCTTCTGTAGAGTGGAAGAAGAGTGTCTGTGAAACTTGAGGATCTAGAAATCGACTTCCTTAAAATATCTGGGCCTGCCTAGCCCTCCGCAGGACTTCCTTACGTACGTATTCCCATTCGAACAACACTAGACTTCGTTTTTAGACTGGGGATTGGTATCTTCTTTGAATAAATCTTTACAAATTGCTTCTGTGGTTATTGGTCTATTCAGGATTTCTCCCTCTTCTTGTTGGGGTTTTACAATTTCTATTCCCTTTGCCTATCATCCATTTCATTAAACTTTTCAAATTTATAAATGTAATACATAGGATTCTCTCAAAATTTAAAAATAATTATACCACTCCCACCCAAATGCTTTACTTAAAGTCCACTTTTCTTTTTCCACACCATGATGAAAGGTTTAGGCCGACTTTTCTTTCCCAGCAGCTGCCCTCTTGGGTTTTGATGAGAATTTAGAATTTTCAGTCCCAGGCTGTCTCTAGTCTTAATACCTGTATTATAAATTCACAGTCATATCATCATTCTTTTCGGTTTAGCTACACATATATATGCTCTTTTAACTATTTATATGTCCATATTATTTACTGCCCATGAAATAAAGCAGGTAGACAAAGGATTAATATCCAGAATATACGGACCAATAAAACAAAGGCAAACAAAGAAAGTTAAAAGATTTAACAGGCAATTCATAGAAGGAATACTAGGAGACAAACATGAAAAGCTGCTTAACATCTGTAATGAACAACTGCAAACTAAAACAATAAGATCCCTACCCCACCCCACCCAATCCATTTAAATGACCGAACGATGGCGCAGGTGCGGGGAGAGGGGCGCGCTGGCCCGGGATATTTTTCCTGCCGGGAGTAGGCTATAGTTTGGGGTCTGTATTATTAATTTCTCGAGTGACAGTTTCCTGGGCTTGAGATGACCCTTGGTAAGAATTTGTCATGGATATCTGATATTGACTACAAACTTTTACTCAAAGTGACAAGGTTAATGGAGTTGAAAAGCAGCTGAGTTCATTTTATTCTAACGGTTTTACTTACAAAGGAAGTGTAAAACTCGTAATTGTCCACTAATTGTGGACGAAAGATGGGTAACAACGAAAATTTGAGTCCATTACTGAGGAACTGATGCTTCCCAGAAGGCTCCGGCTGGCACAATCAGTCAAAACAAACGGCTCAGAAAGCCCTGTGACCGGTGTGCGGGCCAACCCAACCAATCCCGGAAGCCGGTACCTCCGTCCTGGCGGAAAAGTTAAAATGGCGTCCGTTAGCTCCATGGGCGTGGCCTCGAGCTGGACTCCTCCAATAGGAACGAGACGGGGTGGAGCACTTTCCCAGCAAGCTTTCTAGCTTGGGGCAGGGCTTACTGGAGTCTGCGCCCTTCCATTAGTCAAAAATGGAATGGGGGCGTGGGAGAAACCATTCGCGGAGACTCTTGGTAGGGTCGTCGCCGTAGCAACGCGCTGAGCTACCTGGGAGAGGCCTCTAGAGTCTGACCCACGGCCCCCGCCGCCCACATGCGGCTGTGACCTCCCGGGATCAGGGCCCGGCTGGCTGCGATCTCCATTTTACCCGCACGTCCGCGCTCCGAGCAGACCGCCTCCATTGTTCCGCGTCCAGCCTCCTCACCCCGGGCTACACTCAGTCCACTAACGAAGCTGTCCCCGCTTCTGTCCTCCAGCTTCCAAGTGCCAGATGATGGAGGAGCGTGTCAACCTGATGCACATGATGAAACTCAGCATCAAGGTCTTGCTCCAGTCCGCCCTGAGCCTGGGCCGCAGCCTGGATGCAGACCATGCCCCCTTGCAGCAGTTCTTTGTAGTGATGGAGCACTGCCTCAAACATGGGCTGAAAGGTGAGCCTGAGGGCGGGGTCGGGGGCTTGAAAAATTCGGGCTAGCTGTTTCCCAGCATCATCAGTGCCAAACGTTGTTCTGGGAGCTGGTGGTGTTCTTGTGCACACAAGACAAACAAGGTCCCTGCCCACAAGACGCGACATTCTAGAGCAGCGCTGTCCAATAGAAATGCCATGGAAGCCACATGTGTAATTTCTAATGTTCTAGTAGACACGTTTAAAAAAACGGAAAAGAAACAGATGAAATTACTTTTAGTAATTTATCCCAATATAGCCAAAATATTATCATTTTGACACATATAATCAGTATAAACCTTACTAATGAGATATTTTGCATTCTTTTCTACACTGAGGCTTAAAGATCCACCGTGTGTTTTATACTTACAGCACATCTCAATTGCACTGGCTACATTTCAGTAGCACTTGTGGCTAGTGACTACCTTGGACAGCACAGTTCTAGAAGAGGAGACAGACAACAAACTCAGAAGCAAACATAATTACAAAATGCTACAAATTCAGGGACGCAAAATAGGTTAAATGATAAGAGAATCAAGGGAAAAACCTTTCAACTAGGGTGAGAGGCGAAGGTCTTTCTGGGGAGGTAAAATGTGAGCTGAGACCTAAAAGAGGAGTCAACTTTGCAAATGTTTGGGGCAAGAGCCTTCCTAGAAAGACAGAACAAAACAAGTGCAAAGTCCTGAGGGGGACCAACCTTGGTTTCAGGAAGACACCAGGTAACTGAGACATGCTGAGAAGGAGGAGGTGAGGTCAGGGCAGTTGGGATGGGCTGGATCATGGTAGGCCTTTATAGGTCAGGTGAGGAGCTGGATTTTATTCTAAGAGTATTTAGAGGATTTTCAGCAAGGGAAAAACAAGATCTAACTTACATTTGTAAAAGAACTTCCAGCTATGTGGAGGACAGATTAGAAAGGTGGGGAGGTGATGGTATTAGGAGCAGGGAAACCCATTAGGAGATTATTGCAGCAGTTCAGATGAGGGATGGTGGTGATGATTTGAAATCAAGAATTGACTTTGGCATAGGAGGGAGAAAAGGCAAGGATTTCACAGGTGATCATTTGACCACTTGTTTTATTTCATGGTCAATAAATACTTGAAAGAAGGAGCCTCGTGGGTATATCAGAGAAACCCTTTCATTAGAGGAAGGGAGAGCTCATTTGGTACCTGGCCTTTCCCAGCCCCCAGTACTGAATCAGAAGGAGTAAGCAGTGCAGCTCCACAGCATTCATTTGGCTTTTGGGAGAGAGGCTGTGGGACCCTGAAGACATTTTGCAACCTGTTCTTATGAATAACACTTCTGTTTTCCCTTTTAGTTAAGAAGAGTTTTATTGGCCAAAATAAATCTTTCTTTGGTCCTTTGGAGCTGGTGGAGAAACTTTGTCCAGAAGCATCAGATATAGCCACTAGTGTCAGAAATCTGCCAGAATTAAAGTGAGTGAGAAGTAGTTACATCAATTTGATGTTTTAAGAAAATTTCCTTGTATTTATCAATTTCTCTATTCCTTGCTGATAAAGCGTTTTCTAATTTAGAACAAATTGTAGCAAAAGCTACACTCTACTTAGACTTTAGTCCCAGCTCTGCTGCTCATTCTCCATATAAGCTTGAGAAAATTTGCCGCTCTCCGAGCCTCAGTTTCCTTTTCTTTAAAATGGGGACAGCGATTTCTGCGTGTCATACAAGGTCAAATAGTGAAAAGGTGTTGTCACCCAAAGAGCAGTTACAGGAGGAAAAAGAGTTGTTACACTCCTGGAATTGCTGCTTCAGATGCACCTGGGTGCTTTGTGGCCACCTAGAGGGGTGGGATAGGGAGGGTGGGAGGGAGACGCAAGAGGGAGGAGATATGGGGATATATGTATATGTATAGCTGATTCACTTTGTTATAAAGCAGAAACTAACACACCATTGTAAAGCCATTATACTCCAATAAAGATGTTAAAAAAAAAAAAAAAAAAGACAGATACACCCCTGGGCAGTTCTGAATAATACAGTTTGGAACAGATTTTAGATTCCAGGACAAGACACATTTGTGGAAAGCCTGGCACTAATGAATCCTTTGTCTTATCTGGGTTTGCCCTTGGGATCCCTACGTATAGGCTCAAAATAAAAAACTGAATGGAACATGTAAAGGTGTATCGTGGAATCTGCATTGAGAAGGGGCCCTGGAGATCCTTAGGCCAATGCAAAAGTTCTCCCGGGAGAGTCTTTCACAGGGGACTCAACTGTCCAGCCTCTGTTTGACCTTCTCCTGCAGAGCCAGCTTATTCCATTTTTAGATGATAATAATAGCCACCACCATTAACTAAGGGCCTGCCATGTACCAGGCATTGTGCTAAGGATATTTCATTATCTCGTTTTATCCTGCACAAATCCCTAGGAACTGAGCTGTTGGTGTCCCCATCTACAAGTGCGGAAACTCAGACTCAGAGTAGTTAAGTAACTTGCTCAAGGTCCCTTGGCAAGAGAGTGGTGGAACCAGGAATAAAACACAGGTCTGCTGGTCTCTGAAACCCTCTAAATCACACTAAACCCTCTAAATCACACTAAACTCCATCTTTGCTGAGCCCTGTGCATTCATAGGACTTAAGCCTTCTGTCTCTGTCCCTGGTTCATCCCTCTGGGCCTATACCTCCTAAGGTGAAAACCTTTAGCAGGCGACAACCTTTCATATATTTATTTGGTGACCCCCTCATGAGCCTCCTACATCTTCTGCCTTGTTTCTTCTGTTTTTTTATTATTTTTATTTTTTTTAGGTGGTATTGGGTCTTCATTGCAGTGTGCGGGCTTCTCACTGCAGTGGCTTCTAGTTGCAGAGCACGGGCTCTAGGCACGCAGGCTTCAGTAATTGTGGCTCACGGGTTCTAGAGCGCAGGCTGAGCAGTTGTGGCACACAGTCTTCGTTGCTCCGTGGCATGTGGGATCTTCCTGGACCAGGGATCGAACCCGTGTCCCGTGCATTGGCAGGCAGATTCTTAACCACTGTGCCACCAGGGAAGTCCCTTCACTTGTTCTTTATGTGGTCCTATTGTCCATTCCCTTCCAGCAAGCTCACTCCCTCAAGAGTACAGCACTAGACATGTGTCCCTGGGTGGTCTGGTTGGATGGAGCAGGGCTCTCCCTCCTCCTGCACTCAGGCTATTTCCACTTAGGCACAGGAGGCATTTTTGAAGTCTTGTTGTGCTAACAAAGAGCTTATTGTCAGCTAAACTCACTGCTTCTGTTCCCTGTGGATGCTAAACAAGTAACTAGCTTAAGTACCAAAATCCTCCCTCTGTCTGCCAAAAAGGAAATACATAGTAGCTCCCTCCTCTTGACGCCTCTGGAGGAGTAGCCTTGTTGGGAGCCATGTGAGAAAAGGCTACTGCTTTGCTCTATAAAGAGCTGCAGTGTTTTTACTATTTCATTAAATAGTAACAAAAGTTCTAAAATTTCTGCAGTATTTTGGAAGTTATGCCCAGAATTTTTTTTGAGGGTAGAGTCTATTTGCTCTAAGGTGGTTTGAAACTTGCATGACGAACTTTGCATCCTGAGAGAAATCTCTCTAGAGTTTAATGTCCTTGTCTAATTGAGATAAAAATATCTTTTACAGTATGGCCTATCACCCAAAATATTTCATTGTTTTCATGTCATGGTTTATTATTAAACAAACTGTTACACAATGAATAAGTTACACTTAAGATTGGCACTTAAACCCAGATAACAGACAAAGCTTGTCTCTCTCTTTTTTGAAAATTAAAAACAACCTTTTTGGGGACTTCCCTGGTGTCACAGTGGTTAAGACTCCACCTGCCAATGCAGGAAACATGGGTTCGATCCCTGGTCTGGGAAGATCCCACATGCCGCGGAGCAACAAAGCCCGTGTGCCACAACTACTGAGCCTGTGCTCTAGAGCCCGTGTGCCACAACTACTGAAGCGCACACGCCTAGAGCCCAGGCTCTGCAACAAGAGAAGCCACCACAATGAGAAGCACGTGCACCACAATGAAGAGTAACCTCCCTTCACTGCAACTCGAGAAAGCCCGCACGCAGCAACAAGGACCCAACACAGCCAAAAGTAAATAAATTAAATAAATAAATTCTAAAAAAAAAGTAAAATAACCGAAAAAACAACCTTTTTTCTTATTACATAACTTTTTTTTTTTTTTTTTTTTTTTTTTTGTTGGGTTCTGCGGGCCTCTCACTGCTGTGGCCTCTCCTGTTGCGGAGCACAGGCTCCGGACGCGCAGGCTCAGCGGCCATGGCCCACGGACCTAGCCACTCCTCGGCATGCAGTATCCTCCCGGACCGGGGCACGAACCCGCGTCCCCTGCATCGGCAGGTGGACTGTCAACCACCGCGCCACCAGGGAAGCCCTACATAACTTTTAATTAAGAAACAAAAAAGGCGCTTCTGTTAGCTTACTACTCAGAAAAAAAACTACAATTAATATCGTGGTCAGTATCCTTTTAGATCCTTTCAGTGCATAGTCGGACAGACAAATAAATAAGATTCTATTTTTATTCCCCTCCACCTCCCCCAGTGGCTTCATTATTGCACTGCTTCTCATGGAAGACAGTTTGGCACTATCTGCAAAAACCACCAATACATCTACCCTTTGACCCAGCAATTCCACTTCTAGGAGTTTTATCTCTTAAATCTAACACTTGAAAATGACACATGTACAGAAATGCCTGTTGCAGCACTATTTGTAACAGCGGAAGATTAGAAACAGCCTAGATAAAAACCAGCTAAATAAATTATAGGGCAGTCCAATTCTGAAACATTCTAAAGCTATGAAAAAATGAACGAAAAATTCCGTGTGTCTGGAAAGAATTTCAAAATGACAGATATTCAGTGAAATAAGCAAGTTGCAGAACGGCATATATAGCATACTGATTTTTTTGTAAACAGGAGAGAAAAATAGAATTTATATTTATTTTCATATGCATAAAAATGTTTTGGAAGTGAACCTAGACTAAGCAGTACATTGTACAGAGGTGGGGAACTGGGGAAAAAAATCAAGTATTAAACTGTACGTACTGTTTTGTGGCTTTTTTTCCCATTTAATATTAGATTTTAAACCTTTTGCCATAATAGTCATCCACATCATTTTTGTATAGCTCCTCCCACTTTGCTCTTTGTGGTTGTCTTCAAATTCTCATTATCCAAACAGTGCAGTGGTGACCACCCCCAAACATACGTCTTTGTGTACCTCCTAAATTATTTCCTTATATTACTAGATGTAGAATTTTGAGAACCTGCTGTCATTAAATTGCCTGCTAGAAGAATTGTACCAGTTTGCACTCCCACCATGTAGCACATGTCAGTGTCCATTTTTCCTATCATGCCAACATCAGATATCTTTTTTTTTCCTACTTTATTTCCTTTCTTTTTTACTCTGGCTTTACATCATTTATTGAAGGGAGAAGGGGGGAATCCAGTCTTTTGTATTGATTAAGTTGGGTGACCTCTGACCCTTTGAGGCTGATATTGATTACAGCAGTACCTCTAATACTCTCTTGGGTATTAGAAATGCAGTTACTCTGCTTAGAACAGGATCTTTTTTTCCTTAAATAATGTTAGGTCTACAATTGGGAGGCCTTTTTTTTCTTTTAATGTTTAAAACAGATCTTTTCAAAATCACATCTTTGAGATTGGTTGCACAAAAATATGAATGTACCTAACAGTACTGAACAGTACAGTTAAAAATGGGTAAGGTGGTAAACTTTATGTTATGTGTATTTTACCACATCAGAAATAAAATTGTACCTTTGAGCTAATGCCCTAGAAATCTTGTGAGACTTCAACCCTTTAAAAACTACATTCCATATTTGTCTTTTGAAAGAAAATTTATCCATTATACAATCTAACCTGGTATTTCCTGACTCCCTGTGAAATTTTATGAATACATGCAGAGTTTTATCTAATTGTATTTGTTCCAGAAATCAGATGTTTGTGGCTTAAATTTTTTTTCCTATTTTATTTTGGGGGGCGGTGCAGAATACATGCCCATGATACAGACTTCAAACAGTACCCAAAAGAATGCAGTGAGCCATTTCCTCAGCCTTCCCAGACAGTGCACTCCTCCAGCCCCCAGGGCAGCTCTATTACAGCGTTCTCTGCATTCACCAGCATATGTATGCGTGAACATGTGTTTCTCCTTGGCTAAGTTGGTTTTTTTCCTTTTGGTTTTTGATGTTATTATTGTTATGCCATAATAGTTTGATTCTCTGTTTGAATTCCAGGACAGCTGTGGGAAGGGGCAGAGCTTGGCTTTACCTTGCACTCATGCAGAAGAAACTGGCAGATTATCTGAAAGTGCTTATAGACAATAAACATCTCTTAAGGTATTTCATCACCTATCTTTGCTTAGCTTTTGCTTCGTAATTAGAACACAGTTCTATATATCATTTGGAATTAAAACAAGAATGTATAATGTACAGTTTTTATTCAAATTATTATTAAGTGTAACTATTCTGTGGCTTAGTTTTAAAATAGCAGTATTTTCTTTTTTGAGCACTGATGTCTGAAAGTCTTTATGAATGAAGATGTATATTTTCATTTTGAAAAGTCATTTTGAAGATAGTTCTTCAAAAATACCTAAGATTAGGCACCCTGACAGCGTACTCCATTAAGTTTCAACAAAATGGTATTTGATTGGATGATAATAGGGGAAAAATGACTTGAACTAGATTCAGTGGGCAATTTTAAAGTATAAAACCCAGCTTTTTGTAAGGGAACATATCTAGATTACCTGTTTTAGGATTCCACATTCAGTTTGTAAACTTTTATATCTCTTGGCATCAGTAAAGACGAACTGTCTATCTCTGAAATTTATGACTGGATTCATTTTTTATATTTATAACTCTATAAACAAAAGTAACCATTATAAGAGTAATTTTCTCCAGGATATGATCATTTACAAGGAACAGATCTCTCCAGAGATAATTCTCTTTATCTAACTGAAATAAAAATGTCTTTTACAGTCACCCAAAATTTTCCATTGTTTTCAAGTCATGGCTTATTATTGAACATATCTTTTCACGATGAATACTGGTTTCAAATAGTTCACGTACTTTGTACTCTTCTTTGAGTACTGTTATACCGAGTAACTCTGAGGTACAGATTTTGTGCTAAACAACTAATTCTTAGGATAATAAGTTCTCATGTACTCACACACACAATGGTAAATGAGCTAATCGCTGGTGACCAGAGCAGTAATGGCTGGAGCCTCACTGTAATGGCTGAGGTGACTTGGAGGTAAGGAAGTAAAAGCAGCCAGTGTTGTTCCATGGGACACAGGGAAGAGGGAAGAGTTTTATCCTTGGGTGGGTGGTGGAGGAGGCTGCGGGATCCCACTTTATGTTGACATGAATGTAAGTATAGAAGCAGTTCATAGCAATACAAAAGAAGGAGCCAGGGTGGACAGGAGGGGCAGAGTGATGTTCAAGAACACAGGAGCCAAGAGGTGAGGAAGACTGGGTTCCAGGGTCCAAACAGAGGAGTTAACCCTAGGCCAGAGGTAGGAGGAGTCCATTTTAAGCCACAGGAAGAGAGGAGAGGCCAGAGAAGAGATAGCAGCACTTCAAGTGGGAGAGGAAATAGAAGGAAGAAGGGAATTCACACAAGGGAGCCTCTGGCTCCTGATGAAGTTGGCAGCCAGGCCATGAGCTAAGAGGTGAAAAGGCAGAGTAGGTCCAAGAGAAGGGTGGTGAAGGTGTTCCTGTTGTATCAATCTCTTTCAGTGAGTTCTATGAGCCTGAGGCATTAATGATGGAGGAAGAAGGGATGGTGATTGTTGGTCTGCTGGTGGGACTCAATGTGCTTGATGCCAACCTCTGTTTAAAAGGAGAAGACTTGGATTCTCAGGTAAAATGGGAATTTTGACTCCAGATCAAATGCCTTGTCTGGGCCAGGGATTTTACATAGGATCTGCAGACGTATGCTGAACCTACGGAAGGGGCAGATGGCAGGGGGCGTCTGGCACAGGGCTGTGCAAGGTGCTGTGCTGGACCAGAGTGGGGAGCAGCTGGCAAAGGTCTTGGGGAAGGGTGAAAAATAGCTTGAGCAAAGGCACAGAGGCACACACAGAGAGCATGGCATGTTTGGGAACGGGAAACTGTTCTCCATGGCTAGAACACAGGATGCTCGATGAGTGAAGTGAAGGTGGAGGCTGGCCCAGTTGTTAGGCCATCAGTGCCATGTTAGAGGCTTTAGTTTTTGTCCCTGGAACTTTGGAACTTAAAAACCTTTGGAGGTATTTAAGCAGTACACTGAAGTGATCAGGCCTGGGATTGAGAAAGATAAAGCTGACAGCCATCCAGTTCATGAGTTAGAAGCAGCCAAGAATAGGGAAAGCAAAAACATTGAGCAGACAAGTCTGGAAGCCCCAGGTTGCATGGGGAATGGGAAAATAGACTCGGGAGAGATTTGGGAAGTCAGATGGTAAAATGGAGCACAAATGAAAGTAGGCAGTAAGATGCAGAGTGCCCCATGGGGTGGGACAGCCCTCTTGACCAGGGCTGAAGCCTAAACTCGTGGTGGCAGGGACTGTAAATCAGGACACCCTGCCCCACCCTCACCTCCACCTCTTCAGGGCATCTGTAACTGGGCAGTGGCCCAGGTTTCTTCCCACTACACATTTGGGCATGAATCTAAAGCTTCCCCAATCCCTCCGTGACCAGGTCAGCTTTTTTTATTGTAACCTCTCCTCTCTTTTTTTTTTTTTTCTTTCTAGTAGTTTTCTTGTTTTTGCCTGTTAAATATTTTTCAAAAAATACAAAGAAGTTTTTTTGAAAAGAAACAAAATATCACATATAATCCCATGACACGGAAAGAGCTAATTCAGTGTTACATTTCAAGATACATCCATGAAGCACATGAAGAAAGGTGTATGTGTGTATTTATATTTCAGAGACAGATGTTTGGAGTTCTCTTTTTTCATTAAACCAAAATATGATTATTCCAAGCACACCATTTTGCAATTTTTTTATTTAATAATATGTTCCACATAGCTCTTGATGTCAAGAGATATAAACCATTTTAAACAACTGCATAGTAATCCATTTTATGAATGTACCATAATTTATTTAACCAGTACTTATTAATGTAAGTTGTTTCCATGTTACAACAATAATGTTATAAACATCCTCATACTTCTTTTTACTCTTGGTCTGTTTATTTTCTTAGGTTAAGTTTTGAGATTGCTGTGTCAGAGTGTACACATTCTGCATGAGTGTTGTGATTACATGTGAGCATTCCTGGTCTTTTTTAATCTGAGAGAAAAACAACTCTCCATCTCAAATTTATATTTTTGAGAACTAGGAAGATAAACTATTTTTTTCATGTTTTATTTGCCATTGGTGGTTCACCTGTTCATATCCTTTGCCCATTTTTTTGAGTTTTCCACCTTTTTCCACTCCTTTATTATTGATTAAGGATATTTACCATTTGTCAGAATATTTGTTTTAAATTTTTTTTTCTACTGTCTTGGAGCTTGTTTTCCCTGTAGACTTTTTTTTTTTTTTTTTGGTGGTCATATTTAATGGACTTTTCCTTTATACCTTCTAAGGTATTGTGCTTAGAAGGTCCTTCCACGTCTAAAAATTAACCTAATTTTTTAAATCACATGTATATTTTTTACATTTAAATGATCTGCCTGTTATTCGTTTTGACATAGTGTGAAGTAGAAGTCCAGATTTCTTATATAAGTACAGTAGTAAACTATTACTCCAGTAGCAGTAAAGTTTTCTCAATATCATGTATCAAATATTATTTCCCTACTAATTTGAAATTCCACCTTTATCATGTGTTGAAATATCCATTATGCTCTGAGGCTTATTTCTGGACTCTGTTTAGTCTCTGGGTCTTTTTATTTCTATGCCAGTAACATAGTCTTTTAATTACCAAAGCTCTGGCAGTTCACCTCCTGCCTACTTTGTTGTACTTCTTTTTCAGATATAGTTGAGGCTGTGTCCATTCTGCCAGATGACCTTGAACATCATTTTGTCAGATTCCAAAATAAAAATTTAATTGGGATTTTTATTAAGTAATAGATGTGATTGAGCCCCCTGGCCTATTCTTATCTTTAATACCTCTTGGATGTCACTATAAAGTATGAGTATTTGCTATTGTACCCTGAGGGATCCTCTTCCTCATGTTTAGAAAGTACTGTTCTATTCTAACTTACTTTATATTTTTATTTAAAAATGAACATTGAATGCTATCAAATACCTTTTTTGGCATCTATTGAGATGTCATATCCATTTTCAACCCATAATTATAATTGAATTAATTCTTAGGTTTCCTATTGTGATATCATAAAATAAACCTTACTTGGTCATCGTGCGTTATTCTTTTAGTATACTCCTAGATTTAATATGTCTGTGGTTTATTTGGAAATTTTGTATTTCTCCTTAAAAGTGACAGTGGTCTGAGTTTTCCTTTTCTATACTGTCTTTGTCACTTTTCAGTGTCAGGATTGTATAACCTCATAAAATAAACTGGATGATATTCTTTTCTTTCTTATTTTCCACAAGTTTATTAGAGCAGGAATTATTTTTCTTTAAAGGTTTGTTAAAACTTGCTGGTATGACAGTTTCAGCTTTATGCAAAAGTTTTATGGTCCTCATGCTTTGACCACTCTAATTTTTTGCATAGCTTTGATCAATTTATTGGTTTCCTAAGTCTTAGAAAAATTGTTAGTCATTTATATTTTTCCAGAAATCATTTGTTTCATTCAGATCTATTAGTTGCATGAGAGTATTTTCTTACAGCTTTTTAAAAATCTCACTTTTCTAAATTGTAATACTTGGTAGAGATTTGTCTACTGTGTTGAGCTCAAAGAACCAGGTCTTGCTTTTACACATCACTTCTGCTTTGAGAGGAGAGCTTTGTTTCCTAGTCCATTAATTTCTACTTTGGGTATTCTTTCTCATTCCTTCTATTGTTGCTTTTTTTCCAGTCAAATATATATTTCTTTTTAAATTATTTTTGTATTACAAAAGAAATGCATGCCTGTTGAAAAAAAGTTAAGCAATTACAGAAGAATGTAAAGTGAAAAGTGAAATTCAAGCTCCCATTCTCCTCTCCCCCTTCAGTCCCAGTCTTGTCCCCACAGATAATGGTAAAAATTTGAGGGACTGTTTCTACTTTTCCTATGCATTTATGTATACATAGGTTTTGTTTTTAATTAAATCTTTTCTGGTTTTCTGTTGCAATGTAACAAATTAACAGTCACCTAAATGATTACAGTCCCTCATATCTGAGGGATGGCTGAGCTCAGCACGGTGACTCTTAAGCACACCTGTGATCACAGGCAGTTGGTGGCTGGGGCTGGAGTGGCTGAAGGCATATGCACTCTCACTCTGTCCTCTGGGCTGAGAAGGCTCAGGGAGCTGAGGCTGGAGCAGCAGGGGCTTCTTGGGCATCTCTGTCTACACGTGGTCTCTCCACATGGTCTCCAGTATGGTGCCTCAAGGTTAGCCAGACTTTTCCCATGGAAGCTCAGAACTTCAAAGGTATATGCCCAAGGGAAAG